TGTCCTTCAGCTCTTCAACTCAAGGCGAGCGCTCTACCACTTGAGCTACAGCGCCACTTCCGGTTTTCTGGTGGTTTATTGGAGATAGGAGTCTCATGGTCTCTCCTGCCCGGGCTGGCTTTGAACCGCGATCCTCAGATCTCAGCCTCCTGAGTAGCTAGGATTACAGGCGTGAGCCACCAGCGCCCGGCTAAAGACCTACTTTATACCAGGTGCTTTACAGATGTCATTTCCTTGAATGCTGTAAGGACCTGGATATGTGCACGTTTGCTTTCCTGCTTTCCCAGCAAGAGAAAGCGAGGTTCTGAGAACATAAGCCTCTACCCAAGATAACACAGTCAGAATAGGCCTAAACAGCTTTGACCTTGCAAGGCTTTGGAGGACATTTCCACTCAAAGCCCTTTGGTTAGGAACCTAGGGACAGGGAGAGAATGTACTGGTTTCTTCTGGAACAGTTTCCCTGAACAGAAGTTGAGGGAAAGAAACTTGAAACCAGATCAACAGGGGAGTAGACAAAGACCTGAGCTGGCACCACCTGAGGGCCCGTCCCCTGGGGACACAGGTGGCCAAGGCCCTGGCTGCCACCCCAGAAACACTACCAGTCAGGACACACACACACACACACACACACACACACACACACACACACACACAGAGCCACTTAGCTTGGCCAGTCTTCGGAAACACATATTCATGGTTATAATTTGTCTTCATGTGTTGGTAATAGATAGTTGTTCATTGGACTTTCAGACTTTATATAGCCAAGCACTAGTGGCTCACACCTGTCATCCTAGCAAATCTCGAGTCTGAAATTTAGAGGATCACGGGGTGAGGTCAGCCTGGACAGAACAGTCTGAGAGACTCCATCTCCAATTAACCAGCAAAATCCTTGACAGTGGGGGGGGTGGGGGGCGCGACTGCTCAAGGGTAGAGTGGCAGAGTTCAAGGCCCTGAGTTCAAGCCACAGCCACAGCCCAAAACGATGCAAAAATCTTCAGATTGGAAAAGTAAATATTGGGATGTTCACACAGGACTTTAGTAGAAGAGCCCGAGGCCTCTAGATACCCACCCAGAATGTTGTCTATTTTGCTAGGACCACAGGCAAATCATTTATTCAGTACATTGTTAGATGGGGGAAGTTTATGGGATATCCAGTGAAGCAGTAGAATAACCTCAGTGTTAAATAAGAACCCCCAAGTTTACAAAGAGCCCTGGGTTCAACTCAGAGAGGCTGAGGGATTTATTTGCCCATTATATAACCTGACAATGACAGAGCCTGGGCTAAATCAAGGGTTTGATAACTTCCAAGCTGAATTGCAGGGCCAGGCATGGTGATTCATGCCTGTAATCCCAGCTACTCAGGAGGAAGTGGTAGGAGGGTCCTAATCTGAAGCCAGCCTTGGGCAAAAAAGTGAGACCCTATCTGGAAAAAATAAGCTAAATCATAAAGGGCTGGTGGGGGGTACTGCTCAAGTAGTAGAGCACCTACTAAACCTAGCAAGTAGGAAGATCTGAGTTCAAAACACCAGTACAGAAAGAAAAACAAAAGCTAAGTTCTACTCACTTATTCAAGAGGCATCAAATAGAAGGAACCCTGGACTGAGAAATAGAAAGTTTGACATTTATCCTAGACCTGGTTGTTGTTGGTGGTGGTGGTGGTGGTAGTGGTGGTTTTTTTGGTTGTGGTGTTTGAACTCTGGGCTTGGGCGCTGTCGCTGCACTCTTCCGGTTTGTAGTGGTTTATTGAAGATGCGACTTTCCTACTCCTGAGTAGTTAGGATTACAGGCGTGAGCCACCAGTGCCCGGCCTAGTGTTTTTGTTTTTGTTTTTTTGTTTTTTTTTTTTAATTTAATGCCAGTCCTGTGGCTTAAACTCAGGGCCTGGGTCCTGATAGACTAACACTCTACCACTTGAGCCATAGCTCTATTTCTGGAGTTTTTTTGAGAGGTAATTAATTGGAGAATTAATTTGAAGCCTGGATTGGCTTCAAACTGTCACCCTCAGATCTCGGCCTCCCAAGTAACTCGGACCACAGATGTGATCCTGGGTGACAGCCCCGGGATCTTAAACCTGTTTCGCCTCAGTTTTGCAGTCTGTGAAATGGGCTCACATGCCTTCCTCTCAGCTGAGAGTCTTGGGTGCATGGGATGTCACCCTCTGATCCTGTTTTTGCCTGGGCAGTTTGCCTTTAGGGACGATGTGCCATTGGTGCGGCTGGAGGTGGCAGATGAGTGGGTGCGGCCAGAGCAAGCTGTGGTGAGGTATCGCATGGAGACTGTGTTCGCCCGCAGCTCCTGGGACTGGATTGGCTTGTACAGGGTGAGCGAGCTGGACGGGGCTGGGTGGAGCCTGGGCCTAGGGGAGGAGCGGGCCTGGCGGAGCCTGGTGCCCAGTTGGATGTGACCTCTGATCGGATGCTGGCACTGGGGCTCAGGGCCCTGCTCGCTCTCTCTTCAGGTGGGTTTTCGGCATTGCAAGGACTACGTGGCCTATGTCTGGGCCAAACACGAAGATGTGGACGGCAGCATCTACCAGGTGATTCAAAGGAGGGCAGGGTGGGAAGGCGAAGTCCCCAGCACCCTGGGGACCTCAGGACTCAGCTAGGGGTTGGGGGGAGGGGTGTCTTGAGGCTGCTCACCTGACCCCCAGCTCCGGCCTGTCCCTTTGCCCCCCCCCAGGTGACCTTCAGTGAGGATTCCTTGCCCAAAGGCCATGGCGACTTCATCCTGGGTTATTACAGCCACCACCACAGCATCCTCATCGGAGTCACGGAACCCTTCCAGGTAAAGGGGCCTGAGTCGGGGACCCAGGGGGACCCCTTCCCTCTGCTGCCACTGACCAATAGGCCGACCTCCCGTGATCCTCCTCCGGGCCTCGGGGGCCAGGCTCAGGAGCGGGGGTGCCTCTGTGATCAGTGTACCCCAACTCGCCTTCCCCCCCCCCAGATCTCGCTGCCTACCTCAGAGTCGGCCAGCAGCAGCACCGACAGCTCTGGCACCAGCTCGGAGGGCGAGGACGACAGCACTCTAGAATTACTCGCACCCAAGTCCCGCAGCCCTAGTCCTGGCAAGTCCAAGCGCCACCGGAGTCGGAGCCCGGGCCTCGCCCGCTTCCCCAGTCTCGCCCTGCGGCCCTCCTCGCGAGAACGCCGCGGTGCCAGCCGGAGTCCCTCGCCGCAGAGCCGCCAGCTGCCCCGGCTGGCCCCTGATCGGGGCAGTGGCGGTGGCAGCCGGGGCAGCAGCGAAGAAGGATCCTCAGGGCTGCCTGGCCCCTGGGCCTTCCCCCCGGCGGTGCCTCGAGGCCTGGGCCTACTGCCAGCCTTGCGATTGGAGCCCGTCGACCCCGGTGGTGGCTTCTGGGGACCCGATGGGGCGGCTCCCAACTCGGACAGCCTGTCTCCCAGCCCCCAAGGCCGGCACGGGCTGGAGGAAGGGGGTCTGGGGCCCTGAGGGTAGACAGCAGGGGTGCCCAGGTGGCCCCCCGCCTCCCTCCCCGCCGCCTCGATTGCCCACAAACCTGCCTGCCTCTCCTGCTGCTGCCCCAGCTGCGTCCCCACCCGCCACTCTGTCCTGCCCAGGAGTGGCCAGCTGGGGTCCCTTAAAACTCAGTTCTGGCACCTCAACTGTGACAATCAGAAAAGCCCGGCCTGAGCCCCCATCTGGGTTTGGGTGGGGGGAGGGATGTTGGCAGATGTCCCAATTGCAAAGGTCAGCCATTAGGAATTAAATTCTCCAGCTTCACTTTCTGACTCCTTCCAGATTTCTTAGCCGTCTGTGGATGAGGAGAGCTAGTATAAAACAGGGGCTGAAAAGCAAGCGAGTGACAGCACTAACATTTACTAAGCACCAGCTGTATACAGGATATGTGTCTGGTCCTTTAATCCGAACCATAACCCTGTGGGTCGGTGCCCTTCTTCACACCTAATTCTCAGGTGAACAAAGACCTCAAGAGGTTTTACCAGTGTGGGTGGCTCACGCCTGTAATCCTAGCTACTCAGGAAGCTGAGATCTGAGGATCACAATCCCAAGCCAACCCTGGCAGGAAAGTCCATTAGACTCTTATCTAATGAGCCACCAAAAAGCCAAAAGTGGAGGTGTGGCTCAAGTGGTAGAGTGCAGCCCTTGAGTGGAAAAAGCTAAGAGTGCCCACAGCTCTGAGTTCAAGCCCCAGTCATGGCAAACACAAGAAAGGGACGCCAATGTCTCAAAACCAGAAAAACACATTGGCTCAGTGCTAGAGGGAATCAAAGTTTACTGTGTGCCAAGTGCCCCCCCCCATATGTTCATTTATCCTCAGCAATTCTATGAGGTAGCTCATGGTTATGTTTGTGACCCTCTTTTTCAGAGGAAGAAACTAAGGCTCAGCATAAGAGAGGGCAGTCCTTTGCCCAAGAGCATAGAGGAGGTTTGAATTTAGCTTTAGGGTAGAAACAATGGTATAGGTCTGGCTAAGAAGGCTGCAGCTGGGTTTGAAGTTTTAGCTCAGTGGAACAGCACTTGCCTGGTAAGTGCAAGGCCCTGAGTTTGGGGGTCTCAGCTTTGAAAACACAAAAAGCCATAATAGTTATTAAAGGAAGGGGGTCCCTGACTGGTCACTGGTGGCTCATGCCTCTAATCCTAGCTACTTAGGAGGCTGAAATCTGAGGATTCAAGGCCAGCTGGGGCAGAAGCATCCACAAGATTCTATCTCTAATGAACCAGCACAAACGCCAGACAGGAAGTGTGGCTCAAGTGGTAGAGCGCCAGGCATGAGTGAAACAGCCCAGAAAGAGCATCAGGCTCTGAGTTCAAGCCTTGGTATCAGTACAAATAAAGAAACCGTAGAGGCACCAAAGAAAGGAGTTGAGGTGGCCTCTCCAGTGTCCCCTACCCCAGTCTTGGGTTCAGATTCAGGCAGTGAACATCTTTAATTTCCTCCCTCTGCCCTAAAGTGTCATAGCCAAGGTTCTGGGGTTTTCTTAGGGAGATTTTTGGCTCATGTATGAATCATCCAATGGGTACCTCTTCAGGGTACTGCAGTTAGTTACTGCCCCAATTCTATCAGTATGGGAAGGTCCCTACATCAGAGTGAGTTTCCTGATTATCAACCACATGCAGGCACAGAGGAGTTGTTTCACCAGCAGAAGGTCGCTCAGCAGAGCAGGCAAGGTTCCTTCATCCAGCCTCTTGGTTTCTATACTCCAGGTCTAACCCAGGGAGAGGAGGCTAATATTCCCTAGGACCTGGGACCAGGTGCACAGAAATAGCTGGAACTGACATTCCCTAGTTCTAGAATCATTGCTCTCCTTGGCTGCCTTGGGCTGCCTCAGTTAGCTGGAGACATTTGTTATAAAATGACATGGGGGTCCCTAGGGGCTCTGAAAGCCACATCTGCCCTTTGTCTGGGCTTTTAGAGTGGAGCTGGAGTCGTCTCTGCTGAAGTTGCTGTAAGTGCCGAGCTGTCACTTTGATGGCCTTAAGGACTCTGGAACAGCTGTGGGGAGGAAACAGAGGGACAGTGGTCAGGGCCAGAAGAACCTTACTCTGCAGATTGAGGGTTTGAAGCCCAGAGAGGATCAGGGCTGGGGCCAGGGTTGCCAGCAAGGAAGAGGGGATGGAGGAGAATAAGCTGAGCTGGTACCCGAAACCTTTTGCTACTCTAGTCAGCTAAGGAAGCCTGAGCCAAGGACTAGACCTCAGTCCTCGTTCTGCAAAATGGGAATTATTAGCGATTAGCTTGAAGAGAGATTAAATGTCAAAGTCAGATCAGGATCAGGAAGGGCTCAGGCCTGCTCAGGAGGTAGAGGAGGCTCAGGGCCAATCTGGGCAAAAAGTGAGCCATCTCAACCAACAAGCCTGGCAGGGTGGAATGTGCCTGTAATCTCACCTCTGTGAGATGAGTGTGGTTCCAGGCTGGCCTGGGACAAAACTCTAGACCTTCAAAACATAACTAAAGTAAAAAAGGGCAGCCGGGTGCTGGTGGCTCATGCCTGTAATCCTAGCTACTCAGGAGGCTGAGATCTGAGGATCGCGGTTCAAAGCCAGCCCGGGCACCTAAGACCGTGAGACTCCTATCTCCAATAAAACCACCAGAAAACCGGAAGTGGCGCTGTAGCTCAAGTGGTAGAGCGCTCGCCTTGAGCTGAAGAGCTGAGGGACAGCGCCCAGGCCCAG